CGGTCCCTGTGCTTTAGTTAAGCTTGTTCTAAGTAGGTGCTTTAGACCACTGAGCCATCTCACCAGCCCCTGTGATACATTTTTAATGATGATTAATGATAAACATTTGCCATTTGATGATGAATGTTGGTGGATAGGCACAACTTGCTCTGATCACCTTTCTGAAATGTCTGTGTTTCATATATAGCTTTCAAAGTTTTGGCTTTGGAATATCAGTGTCTCTAGAAATTACATAAAGGAGGGATGTACAAAGTGAAAACCTTGAGCTTTTTTTTTTTTTTTTTTGTTACCATGTGGAAAAAATTTACTTCCTGAACTAGCACAGATTGAAGTCTAATATCTCAGGTAGGAAAAATGTCTCATTCTTAGAGTAATGTCCCAGGCTACTACCAATAAATACTTAAGAATATGCTAAAAATGTTCTAAATCTAAGAAGAGATATTTAACATTATACTTAACATTAGTGATAAACCATGATTTTATAGTTAATTTAACATTATCTTCAAATTGTCTATTTCTTTCTTTTTTTTAATTTTTTTTTTATTTTTGCAGAACCAGGGATTGAACTCAGGCCCTTGCGCTTGCCAGGGAAGTGCTTATTCCACTGAGCCATCTCCCCGGCCCCTAAATTGTCTATTTCTATATCTCTACTATCATATGCTAAATATAAGAATTAGAATGTTGCAAAATTCTTGCTGCTTCTTTTTTTAGGTGGAAGAAACATTATATCTCCATGTATCTTTTTTAAAAAGAAAAAGTTGTATAGACAATTATAGAAAATTGTCTGATGTACATTTGCTGGACTAGGTACAATGAGTGAAATTTTTAGATAAAATGTAAATATTATGTAATTTTAAAACATTTTTTAAGGGACCACTACTTTAAGAAATTCCATTCAATATTTATCATAACTTTTACCTACAATCAGAACTAGAGTTCACCACATTGCTATTGCTCAACTTGTATTTAAAGCTCACTGTGAAACTGAAATATCACCAGAAATATTGTTATATGAAGAAAAATGTGTGACTAGTGTTTGGTGTATATTGATTGAAAGAAATCTTTTAGGGAACTACTTGGGGTGAGACCTCCTTCTCATGGAGTGTGCTTATAAACCATCTTTAATGATGATGACAGTGTGTACAAGTTTGAGGTTAAAGCTGGGTTGTTTTAGAACAATAGAGGAGAAGCAATGTGCTTGCTTCTTGCTATTTGGTGTAGCTAAGATACATTCAGAAGGGCCAGGGATGTAGCTCAGCGGCACAGTGCCTGCCTGGCTAGTGTGAGGTCCTGAGTTTGATTCCTGGTACCACAAAAAGTTCAAAAATTATTTAATATTGGGGCTGGTGAGATGGCTCAGTGGTCTAAAGCACCTACTTAGAACAAGTTTAGCAAAGCACAGGGACCGCGGTTCAATCCCCCAGCACCACATGCCAGCCAGCCCCACCCCCTGGTGGGCTGAGCTGGCCACACACACACACACACACACACACACACACACACACACCAATAAACAAACAAACAAATAAAATTAAAAAAAATTATTTAATACTTTTCCCTTGATGAGATGGTACTTTCCACCATATTTTATGGACTGGACTTTGTAACTCACTTCTGACAAATAGAATATAGTACAAATGACTCTGAGACCTCAAGGATTAGGTCACTGAAGATATTGTTTTTCTCTGCTCTTTCTCCTGAATCACTTGCTCTGAGGAAAGCTAATTGCCGTGTCATGAAGACACTCACACAGAGCTGCAAGGAGGCCTACATGGTGAGAAGCTGAGTTATCTTTTGAGTGAGTCATTGTGAAAATGGATTCTCTATGCACCATCAAACCTTTACATGACCACTGGAACAGTCAAAGCTTTGACAGTAGAGTCATGGAGACCCTGTGGTATAAAACCTCCCAGCTGCAGTGCTTATCAATTCCTGACTCTCAGAAATTGCTGGATATTAACTGTTGCTTAAGTTGCTAAATTTTTGGATAATCTGTTATGCAGCAATAGATAACTAATATACTTTTCTTTCATGGTTGAGTATATTAACTCTTAATTCTTAATCAGTGTTGAACATTCAGTTTTTAGATATTGCACTGAAAGATGGCAATTAATAATTAAATAAGGCAACAAAAGGTGCTCTGGAAATGCACATGTTTCTTCCTGGATTATCCAATTACATTCCTTCAGAGTTTTTTTTTTTTTTTTTTTTCTTTTCTTTTCTTCTTTTTTGTATTTTAGGGAAAGGCCTACAGGGTGTTCAGGGTCTCACTACTAGATCAGAACTTGTACTGATCTACCTGTTTACAGCCTCCCAAGAGCTGGGATTATAGGTATGCACCACCACAGCCAGTCTCAATTGCTGTCTCAGCATGCCCCGGGGGTGGAGCCGGCACAGCAGGCCTGGGGGAGTGAACCCCTGGCCCCTGAGCCTGTTTGCAAGCGCTTTAATTCGCTGAGCTATTTGGCCAGCCCTCATTCCTTCAGATTAATTTCTTCTATAGGCATTAATCTTTCTGACATGTAATACTTCTGATTTTCTGATTGATTTCTTTTTTTTATTAAATAAGAAAAATTATAGTTTTAATTAGCATGTTGGGTGATGTGGAAAGATAAAAAGTAAAACAAAATATGATCTCTTCCTTTAAAGAGTTTTTGATCACCCCCCAACACACCTTGGGATTGAACCTGGGGCCTTCTATTATCCAAAAAAAGAACACAGGATCTTCTCAAATGGTTCTGAAATGATTGCCAGACTTCAACTGGACTTTCATAGAATTAAGTTACATGTTGCATTCAAACATGAATACCATTTAGATATATTCCGAGAGCCTAATATGCTTTATTTAGGAGCAGTGACTATTCTTTTTCTTTTCTTTTTTTTTTTTTTTTTTTTTTTTTTTTTTTGGCAGGACTGGGGATTGAATGCAGGCCCTGTGCTTATTCTACTGAGCTATCTCCATGGCCCCAAGCAGTGGCCACTCTCAAAATCTTTTAGGTTTTGGCATTTCAGGAAAATAAAATACATACAATATTTAATTAAGGACATTTTCTTTGTTTCTTCTTCCTGTTTTTTGCTAAGGAAGTGCATTTTATTGTATTTATTTATTTTTATGATATTTATTTATTATTTATTTATTTATTGTGGTACCAGGGATTGAACTCAGGACCCTGTGCTTGGCAGACAAGCACTTATTCTACTGAGCCATCTCCCCAGCCCAAGGAAATGCTTTTTAAAAGACCAAAAATAGTTTATGTGTAGCATCATATTCTATAAAAGAATATTTTCATGACTTCTTCCAAAATGGAGGGAGGATATGATTTCAAAACAAAGGACAAAATGAGTTTATTACACTTACTGCTTTTAATTTTGCCCTGGCCCAATGAAGCTGCTGTAGTGTGGGTCTGTCGTGCCCCCAGAGGCCCAGGCATGGAAGGCTTAGCCCTCAGTGAAGTGCTGCTGTGAGGAAGTGGAGCCTTTGCTGTTAGAGCCTACTGAGAAGCCTCAGGGTCACCCTAAGAACCTTGTGGGTTTCCTGACTGTGACGTGAGAGGTTCTGCTCTGGCACGTGATTCTACTATGTGCTGCCACAGACCCAAAAGCAACAAAGCATAGACTGGAAGCTCCAACACTGTGAATCAAAGTAAATATTTTCCTCTTAAGCATTGATTAGCTTAGGTATAACAGAAAGCTGACTAACAGAGAAATTGTATCAACCAACACTCTTTGACCTATGATAAGGATTTGCAGAATTCTGACCCAGAGATCATATCTGATCTTCAGCCTATACATTAACTGGAGCTCAATTAAGAATAGTTCTGTATCAGTAAAGAATCATAAATACAAAGAGAAGAATATGTAACAAAGAACATGGCCCACAACACCTGAAATACTTAACTAATTTTTCACAGAACAATGTTTGCAAATCTCTTGCTTATATTACCCTAGAACTGATTCTCTTTAGAAAAAAAACACTGATACTAGTGTACTGAGTGGTTGTCACCAAAAGGGTTATATTTTAAGGAAAGACTGGAGTCAAAGTTTGGTATATTTCTCAAACTTCTAACACTGGGACCTTAGGTAAGTAATGGAATCTCAGTGAGCCTCAATTACCTCACTTGTAACTTGATAATGGATTGTTTCACTTCCAAACCTAAAAGTCTGCTTCTGTGACACCACCAATCTTCTATGGTCTACTCTGCTTTATACTTAACTTCTCTCCCTGAATTCAAGAATTAACAAGATACTTGTGGGCCTTTTTTATTTAAATTCCTCATAAGCTACATGTCTTGAACATCTCTGTTCATTTTAACACAACCCTTCAAAAATGCCATTGGTTTACATAACAGATAATTTCATGGACAGAAAACTATTAGTGATATTGACAGACCTCAAAGTGCGAAACAATCTTTTAAAATATGCTAATTAAGCAAAGGTAAGAGATACAAATTTGTTCACTTTTAAAATATTTCAAATCATGGATCTACCTAAGACCACCAATGACCTATCAAAATTGAGAGTAAGCAGTTCTAAGGTTAGTTTCATCTCAACTAAGAAATGTAATATTTTAATAATATTAAATGTAGTACTATCATTCTACTTGATAAGAAGAGTCTTTAAATTTCAATTAAAAAACCCAGCTATGATGTGGTCTGATTATGAGCCACAAAAAGTCACATACTTGTTTACTTTTCCTGACCAAAGTTCTCTTGGAGTAAAATAAATATTTGAACATTAAAATAACATTTTCAAATACTGTTTTTCAAAGAAGTTTGACTGTAAACATGAAGGTTCAAAAATGCCATTCTCATCTAAGATCATACTTATTCTGATTTTTAAAAATTCTTCAAATGAATTGATTTTTATAAAAGAATCAATTTGCTTTCTTCAAGTTATAACAGATTATCCTAGTAAAGAAAACTTGGAAGAGCTTAGCATAGATAGACTTTAAGTGCAATGTGAACACTTATTGTACTGTGACCACTTATTTCTTTGTTAACAGTTGTACAGTTTTTTGAAAAAGGAATTGAAATCACTTGAACTGGAAGAATTTTATAGTTCACCAGTTTGTCCAAAGGTGAGCTGACAGGAAGAGGGCCTAGCTGTTAGGTCTCATTAGTACCAAGAGTCTGGTATTTCTTTGGCAAAGTAAATGTAAATCTAGTACCTGGCTGTGAGCAAAGAAGATAAATAACATGCCCAATGATGGCTGTGCGAAATTCAGATCATAAAAAAGCCAATCTGAACTGTCAGATATTTGTTTTTTTTTTTTTTATTTTTTATTTATTTATTTATTTATTTTTTATTTTTTTTCAAAGTTTTATTGACAAACATATAGCAATGAGACAGTTTCAAATCATATCGGAAGGACAGTTTCAACAAATAATACACTGCATATATTCTTCTTAGTGGTTAATTGCTGTACAAGATGCGGACTTGTGATCCCATTTACAAACACCATTAGAACAAATCATTCTATTCATTAAGAGAATGCAACTATATATCTATCCCAACCTCTTTGAATACACAGATACAAAATGGACATTCATCGGTATACCCCATTTTTTCTAAGTTCCATTATTGAATATTATAGGTGTGTAAACTCAGCAAAATATTCTAAGAGTTCAGTAGCCCATAATAGCATTGGGTCTTATATTTAACTGGCAATGTCAGAAATTATTGACCTGAGTCCCCCACAGCTCAAGCCAACAGCATGGCTTTATTTCTTATATTTCGACTTCATACTTTTCTACTGGATGGTTAAGACCAAGGTAAAGCAGGACCTATGCAACAAGAGTTGTAGCTTTTTGGTCTGAGAAGGTCAGTGAAATGCCCTCAGGATTTGTCCTGAGATCCTGTACCTCAGATTGTAGAACCTTCATCAGTGCAGCCATGTGGATGAGTCACGGCCATGCTTGGCCAATGTGCTCTCTGTGAAAGCCTGAGAGAGTGTCTTCTCCCCATGTGACTCTCCTTAGGCACACTCTACGTCATCGATCACTTTCCTCTTTGGCCCCATAATCTTCTTGATCAGAAAATTTGGGACACTACCGAGGTACATGACGTTACAGTACAGGTTCTCATATGTCCTGAGTCTTAATTGACCTTAGAAGGTTAGGGCCAAAATATTGGCTTTCCTTGTATCCTTCCTTTTTCTCTAATTTGGTCTGCAAACTTAGGTTGTTAACCATCCAGAAGAAAAGCTTATTGTTATTATCAAACGATTTGGGCTATCAATCTTAACCTCACTATCTCACTGCATTTCAAACATCTTAGGCATAATAAGGAACAGGTATTTTTCATCAAGTATTGATATGTTGAACTTTAAGTCCCTACATAATATGATAAAAAAACATTTAAAAATTAGATTATATTTTAAAAAATAGGATAAAAAAATATGGAATGCTTCATGAATTTGCGTGTCATCCTTGCGCAGGGGCCATGCTAATCTTCTCTGTATCGTTCCAATTTTAGTATATGTGCTGCCGAAGCGAGCACATGAACTGTCAGATATTTGAAGAGTAACAATTTTATTCCTCTTGTGAGCACAGCATGTATTTATTATGTAAACTTATTATAGAAATTCTTTCGTGTACATACAAGAAAGATCTGTGATTGGCATGCGACTTGCTGAATTATAGTTTCTTCTAAGGGTTTTGATTAAAACTCCTCTTAATTGCAATTACGTAATAGGCTATTTTACTGGGATATTTGTGAGATATATATATCTGACTCTAAACATTTAACAAATCCTGGTACATGGTAGGTGTTCAGTAAGTGTCAAATTAAGTTCAATAAGTAAATAAATGAATAGTTTTGTAATATTGGCTATGCTACTTGCTAAACTTTTTTTTTAATTTAACTTTTGCATTGTCCCTCTTGTATGAGAAACTGATACTGTAAATAAGGACCAAATATATATAATAGATATTGTGAAATAGGAATGAATTGTTCAAATGGGAAGGGGAACTACGGAAGGAGGAGGGGAAATGAAAGGGAAAAGAAAATGTGGGTTATTTGCTAAACTTAAGAGAGAAAAACCTCTCTATTTCTAGAAATAATGTCACAAATACATGTTTTCTAGAGCTGCCATTACACAGAACCAAACTGAGCAGCTTGGAAGCAGAAATGTATTGTTTCATTGTCCTGGAGGCCAGAAAGTGGAGGTGAAGTTGCCTGTAGGTGTGGATTCTTCTGAAGTCTGCTAGGGAAGAATGTAAGTAAGTTTCTCTCTTAGTTCCTATGCTGCTTTATCTTTATCTCCCTCTGTTGTTTCCCTCTATGTGAATCTATGTCCAAATTTTCCGTTTTTTCTGTACACAGTCCAATTGGATTATGGGCCACAATAAACAATACCTCCTTTTAACTTTATTGTCTGTCAACAAAGACCACAGAGCGCTGTCTTGTAGCCCTCTGCTTCACCACTCCCATTCATTACATTCCATAATTGGGGACATTGTTATTTGCAGAAACACTTCAGTTATTTTGGAATACAAAGAGCAGATTTCCCTAACTTAAAGTGTCTTAAATTAGAGAATATTTGTTACATAATAAGGCTGAAAGTAAAACACTCTAGCAGTTAAATGACATTATTAGGTAGGGTCTATTGTTTTCCTTTGTCGTTTTCAGCATATCGGCTCCATTCTCACACTAGCTTCTTCCATGAGCACACCAGGCTCACATAACCTCTCCTGCTTGATAAGAATCTAGGAGCCGATACTTGGTAGGCAGCTTACGGCTCTTACTCACTGTAGAGGACTCGAGGAATAGTGGCGGTTCAAACTAAGAAAGGTAGCCAATTGCTTCTTCTTGTTGGAAGCACTGGTGGCAAGACATTGTATCACTTAGAATGCTTTTGACAATAAGTAGCAGAAAAACCAACTCAAAATGGCTTAAGTAGAACAATTATTAGTTTACATAAGTGGAAGTCTAGAGGTAGGATAGAAAGTCCAGCAAGTTTTCTGGAATGTGTCATTGGCTAGGTACATTCATAACTATTCCTTCATCAACCCATTCTAAGTAAATACCATGTGCTGTTTGAATTAATCATGAGTTCTTACACCAGTTATAGACAAATGAACTTTTGTGATTAGTAGATTTATCCTGACCTGCCTCAGTTGCCAGAGCCATAAATCTGATCATGTTATATTTTTGCTTAAACCTATTGCCAGCTGTGCACAAGAGTTTGACCCAATACTCCTTACCCCAGCCGCAAGGGTTATACTGAGAGACTTCTGCTTACTTTGCATTTCCTTTTGTGATTTACAGTCCTGTTCTCAGTCCATGTTCCAGCCACTCTGACAACTACTCAGTTTCTCAAATTAACCAAGCTCTTTCATGATCCTCTTCCCCCTCTTCACTACCTTTTTGTAATTAGTCTTTTTCTTTCAGATATTCTCTAAGGATCATCTCCAGTTTAGATGCCCCACTTATGAATACTTTTATCATACATAGCACACTGTATTAAAGATATTAATTTAATGATCTTTCCTCTCATTAAAGGACTATGTCATCTTTGCCTTTGTACCTTCAGAGTTCAGAATAATACTTAACAGTGACGAGGTAGTTTCTAAAGATTTCTTGGGTGAAGACATTTATTTTTTCTTGTATTTGCTAGTAATTATAATTGTAATCATTTGTTAAACAGAATTTAAATGTGGATAGTATAATAGACACTACATTTTTTTTTACCTCATTCAATTTTAACTGTTGATATATGACTAGGAATCATTATCATCATTTTTACAATGAAGAAATAGACTCAGAGTTGAGCCATTTGTGTAAAATTAAGTGACAGAGCGGTCAATACCAAGCCTATCAATATATTAGTCAGCTTTTCTATCACTGAAACAATACCTGATATTTACAACTTAAAGGAGAAGAGGTTTAATTTGGATCATAGTTTTGGGAGTTCACCTTGTGGTTATCTGGCTAAAGGCAGAAACATTATGATGAAAACAAAGTTGCTTGTTCCCAGAGTTCATTGTGACTCGGAACAGAGGAGGGCAGTACTACTAGAAAGGGTCAGGAGAGCAATCAGATAGACACAGACCCCAAAGTCGTGCCTCCATGGCCCCCCAGTTATACCAGGAAGGGTGCTACATCAATCCTCCCATCAGCCTGACACAAAGAAGCTTTTTTTGGTACAGGGTCTCACTAAGCAGCTTGTACGTGTAGTAATCCTCCTGTTTTCAGCCTCCCCATTGCTGAGATAACAGGCGTGCAACACCACAGCCAGTCTTGGTGGCCAGCTCAGCATACCTGGGAGTGTAGCCGGTGTAGCATATGGTGCCAGGAATCAAACCCTGGTCCTTGCCCTTGCCTGAGCAGGCGCTTAGTCTGCTGAGCTATCTCACTGGACCACTACCAACACAATGAGATTTAATCACCATGATCAAGTTCCAAACTTTTGGGGTTTTTATTCTTTTTTTCTTTTCTCTATATGACATGTTAGGGAGATTCCCCTCTAGTATTGTAGATAAAAATGTAGACTGGGTGTTTTGCTTTTATGAGGTGACGGCCTTCAAGATCAATATCCAGGGGGCCGGGGAGATGACTCAGTAGAATAAACACTTGCCTGGCAAGCACAAGGACCTGAGTTCAATCCCTGGTTTCTCAAAAAAAAAAAAAAAAAAAAAAAAAAAAAAAAAAAAAAAAAAAAAAAAAAAAAAAAAAAAAAAAAAAAAAAATCAATATCCAGTGGTTCTAGTCAGTATCTAATGGTGGGAAATTGATAATCTTAATATTGTCCCAGGCAGATATTCAGGCAGTAGGTAATTCTTCAACTAAGCAGGCACTATTTTCGTGGCTCAGGGTTATTATTCATCTTCAGAAAACAGCCGGGGCAAATGCTGAGTGTAAGACATAAGAATCAGTCTTTCATGAAATCAGATCCAGAAGTGGCCATATATCCGCTGCTCAGCCAAACAGACTAGGACTCCACACAATTCTCCATTTTACAGTGAATTGAAATATAAGGCATGATCACAAAAATATGGTAAATGATTATGCTTTTCAAAATTATAACATTAAGCCCCCTCAAAATACTTGCCCTCACTTTGAGCACATTTACCCCATCCTGTCATACTTGCCCTTTTCTGAAGCAGCTCTGGAAGTCGTCTTCCATGCGGGTCTTCAGCTGCCCTGTCCTGGCTGCCTCCATGTCTTGAATCAATTCAGAAAGTTTACCTGAGTAGAGTTTGCACAGTGCCAGAGTTGGTTAATAAGAGACTGAGGACACACCACAGTGTTTTCATTTGACAGAAATTTCCATAAATATTATGAATCAATTTAGGATATTGAGGCACTCATAACAATGAGCTGTAAAAGGCTCAAGTCAACAACTGCTGACATTGCCAGTCCTACGGATAACCCACTACTATTATGAACTACCAGACTATATTGGATTATTTTGCTGAATTCACGCACCTACAATATTTAAATGGCAAAGGAATACCCATGTCTGACAAAACTAAACAAAAAAAGGGGACATAAATGAAGGACCATTTTGTATCTGTAGATACAAAATAGGATAGATATATAGCTACTTTCTCTTAATGCAGTGAGAAGAAAGACTTGTGCTAATAGTATTTGGACAGGATATCATGTCTGCATTTTGTACTGTGAATAACTACTACGAAGACAACAATATGTGATGTATTAATTATTGTAACTGTCCTACTAACCTGTTTTGAAACTGTCTCATTGCTATTTGTTTCTCAATAAAATTAATTAAAAAAAACCCCAAAACAGTGTAACTAGACATTCACAAAAGAAGACACCCAGAACTCTTCAGAAAGCAGCAAGATCAATGTGACAAGTGCAGGAGAAGTAAATGGGAGTATATGGAGAGGGATTAATGGCAGGGTGTCCTTTATTGTAATCAGTTTTTTTTTTTTAAATTTAAACATTTGCTATATATTTTGATCACACCTTGTACTAAGTGAAGAACTGAAGTTCAAGCCCAGTGATACAATATATTGAATCTTCTGATATATTCTCTACCTGAGACCCAGTAATTGAAAATGATATGTGAGGACTCCCGTGATGTTCAGAATTGATACCATTCCCCTGGTGAATCAGGCAGTGACCAGAGAGGAAAAAAATGTTTTGAGCAGCTTCCTAGGTAAGGAACTCATGTCAAGCAATTGCTAAATTAGTGGTTAGAAAGAGAAATCGATTTTCTTTGTCCTAACTTAATTTGTTTTTAAATTTAAAGAAAAAGAATCCTCAATTACATATTGTATTTATACTTGCTTATTTTATTATGCACAAAGAAAAGCTAAGGAACATACATTTTTAAATCTGCTTATTTCTTCCAGAAAAATATTTTTTCTTACTAAGGGTTCTTGCCTTTAAAGAAATAGCATAAAATATTTGAATTATTTTCTTTTTTGAGTTAAAATTTAAATTTAAAAAGATTAAAATCATTTATTCATTTATTTATTTGGTAGGGTCTTGCTATCAGCTCAGACTCACAGTGATCCTCCTGTCTCAGCCTCGCCAGGGCTGGGATTACAGGCACACGCCAACATGCCTGGTTTCAGTGGTCCGCCACTCCAGGGCCAACATAGAATGCAGTGCCATGGATTGATGGATCGAACCTGGGTTTGTGCTTGCCAGGCAGGCGCTTAGACTGCTGAGCTATCTTCCCAGTCCTATTTTGGATTAAAAAAAATTTTTTTAAATGCATTTAGTACAGGGCCTACAGGGTCTCACTACACATATTGGACTCATAGTCATCCTCCTGTTTTCAGCCTCCTAAGTACTGGAATTACAGGTGTGCACCACCATGCCCAGTCTCAATTGCAGGCACAGCACACTGGGGATCCAACTCCAGTCCTTGCATCTGCCTAAGCAGGCACTTTAGTCCCCTGAGCTATCTGGCCAGCCCTTGGATTAAATTTTGATGGCCTATTTCAAAAGCCTTGTGCATAAGACCGTCTTTTGCCCATTCGTTTAAGACATACCTGGATCCAAGTCTCTGCAATCTTTTTATCATTCAGCAAAGTATACTTGGCCTTAACCATGAGCTCAACTTCTCCTGGTATTCAGTTCAGACTTTGAACAGAAAGCTATAGGGAGTCTCACTCAATACTGGGAGGCTAGAACCTTTGTTGCTGGTCTAGCTTTGATTAAGTTCTGACAATAAATTTGTCTCATATTCCAACGCCAGCTTGCCCTGCTTGTGCTCAGGATAGTTGCCTTAGGCTGAAGCTGAAAGCTGATCATATGTGGGAAAGCAGGATGAAGCCTCATTGCAGTCAAGCTACCTCAGTGCTGAGAAAAACATCCTGCTTGGACCTTGTTGGCTATTAGTTGCTAGGCAACCTTGTGTCTTATAACTTTGCAAAGGTATAAATAAATGCTCCTACTGTTGTTCTGGGGTCCTTTGCCAATCAGGCATGGTCCGCTACCTGACCTTAGCTATTATCTCTTGCCTTTACTTTCTAAATTCTCTCACTGTTTTCTCCCAGGGACCACCATTAGACCAACAAATACCTGCGGCTTCCCCGTGGCTGGTATCTGATTTCATATCCTCAAAGAGTCCTTTTATTCCCTATCATTCTGTGCTCTCTGTCTCTGATTGCCATCTCATTAGGTAGTACTTATCTGATCACAGACATTCACGATTTCTGATTGACCGCTGAATTTCCAAGCTGCTTTGCTCTGGGTTCCATGTTTTCTCCCATTGACACAACCCATTCTAACTATCAGAACCTATGACATCAGCTGTTTATTGCCACACCTTTTATTTTTTCTTTAAATTTTATTTTATTTTATATAGTATAAACAAAAACAAAAGCATAAACATATAACAAAAACAAGGACAAAAGCAGAGTAACATGCAACAATACATATGGTATAGATTTTCAAAACAAGAATAACCAATTAACAATGGTTGTTATATTACATATATTTATCATCAAATCTGTTGCTCAGATTAACAGAGGTATGCACGATTGAACAAATAATCGAACATTAATACTTGCTTTCAATAAACCTTAAATTTTTCTTGTTCTTTTTACTTTTTTAAACATTTATTTTAAAAAGACTATAATCATACTTGATAAGACATTAGAAATGGTATTGCTGGGATGAAATACCTGGCACCCAAAGTTAAAGAAGGAGAGGTTTAGTTTAGCTCACACTGTGGGAGTTTCAGTCTGTATACAGCTGGCTCTAAGGCAGTGTGGTGTGGCAGAGGGTCATCCCAGAGCCGAAACCGTTCATGACAAGGTAGACAGAAGGCAGCGGTCAGCAGCAAGCAAGCCTCCCTTTCCCTTTTAGCCCATCTAGGTGCCAAACCTTTTAGATAGCATACAGTTCTATTACTGGGAAAATTGGTCCTGAGGCCAGCAGGAATTGGCCTCTGTCCTTTGTGTTGCCAATGAAACAATTCAGATGAAGCTAGGCACAATGACACATGCCTATCATTCCAGCCCCAAGAAAGCCCGGCAGGAGGATCACAAGCTAGAGTTCCACCAAAGCAATTTAGCAGGACACTGCCTCAAAATGAATGGCAAAAAAAGAATGGCTGGGACTTAGCTCAGTGGTAGAGAATTCCTGGCTTCAGGTCCTAGTACTGCAAAACAGAAAAATAAAATAAAAGAATCGACAAGACAGATAGGTAGCACAAAGACAGAGAGTGACTACACCTGTAAGTGAGAAGTCAGACAGTGCCACAAGTGTAGGCATCTGCTTTGAGTGGGAGTGTTGATATCTTTTCTGCACAGGTGAGCAATTTGTGGGTTTCAGGGAACTATGATAATTTTCATTGTTTTGTCTACATGCTGTATATGCTCATCGTATTTTTATTGAAGGTACTCTGCAATATGGATATCTCACTGTTGCAAAATGTCTTCCTGGTTCTTTTCAAATGGTCATTGTGCTCTTGGTGGGGGTTGGGGATCTTAATCCTGTAAAAACTGACAAATGAAAAAGTCCTAATCTAAATCAGGTCTCAGTCTAAAGCTGGAAGGTCTTTAAAAGAATGTTACCCTTTCTAACAGCATTGGGCTGTAGGCCATGGCAACTGGAAATGCTATAGGCCTTGTTCTTGAAATAGATAGCTCCAAGTTGTTTGGGGTCTAAGACCTAATAAATGTCTATAAATGCATCATACACTGACATCTTGTTTCTTAACTGCAACTGCAAGGTGCACTGTTGTGGATCCTCTGTGTCCTTCAGGTCTCCTAATGTGCAACTATCAGCCTAGCTGTTCTGCATTGCCCCTTATCCCTCACTGGTTGGGTCTCTTTCTAGGTGTGCAGCTTCACCATGAAGCAATTAACACAGCTATGTATCTAAAATTTGTCTTTAGTTCAGAGAATTTACTAGACTTTTGTAGTGGATAGAATTGAAGCAATGTAGGAATTTTGAGCCTGAACATTACTGTTGGCTGGAAAGACTGACAAGTGGAAACATGAATAGCATAACAATATTAAGTCACAATATGCATGTTAATTCAAGTTAAAGTATTTTAACTTGGAACTCTATATGGGACACTTCAGTCACTTCCAAGCATTGATGTCTTGAGACTTGATGTAATCCCACTCACATATGTTTTGGATTATGCAGTTTAAAGGATAAGAAAAGTAACTATTTTCTTCAAATGAGAAACAGAACTCAAAAGAATAAACTTCCCAAAACATGAAAATTAATTTGCGTACTCTTTGGAGGCAGGGAGAGTTTGTTTTTATTAATTTCAGTATACTCAAAGAGAAAAAGCATAAGTAAAACTATTGTTTCTTGACTGTAAAACAAGTTTCCACCCTTATTTTCTCTCCCTCTGCCATCTGCCACTAAATGTGCTCAGGATCTCTGTTGGCTGTGTACCAACAGGATTTCCAAAGTGGCTAACCTGGAAGCTGGATGTATGAAAGAGCCCTCAGCCCACAGCTCTGCTTCACTAGGGTGAGAGTCAAGTCATTACCCTTGGGTGGACAAGTACAGAGTGAATCTTCCAGCAAACACCTAAAGCGCCAGGTTCTGAGCCAGGCATGGGGCAGCAGCAGATCCAGCAGATCCAGTTTCAAGTGTGGCTTGAAACTTGTCTAATTTGGGGACCTTTGTTAATAAAAAAAAATCTTAATTATAAATAAAAAGTAAGTATGAAAATAGAGAAAAAATTATGACCAATTTAAGCTTTGAAAAGCTAATAAATACCACTAAAATGACAAAATGTAGGAAATGACATATTTTATTAACTAATTGTATGACATACCATCATAATATTTTCACTATATTTTATCTATATATTAAACTTTACATATAGCAATAATTTTGTAAATGCTTTTTAGATATAAAATAAGGGATATTTTAATTAAGAATTTAGATAGTTACTTTTAGTCTCATCATTTATTATTAGTAATGTTACTTAGCCTTTTAAAACATGAGAAAACTGCTGGGCATGGTAGCACATCCCTGTAATTCCAGCACTCAGGAGGCTGAGACAGGAGAATCATCATGAATTTGAGGCCAGCCTGGCTGTAAAGTGAGTTCAAGACCAGCCTGAACTACATAGTGAAACCATGTCTCAAAAAGACAAAAAAAAAAAAAAAAAAAGATATTGGAAAACTGTTCTCAAGCTTTTTTTCAAATGTACTAAGATTTGTGGAATTTAAAATCTTAGTAATCAGAACTATTATTGCTGTCCTTGTGTAGTTAATGAGTCTCATATCTTTATTGGTTATTTCATATCAAAGTCAGTGAAAAATTTTAATACTTTATCAGTGCATTCATATTTTGAGTTATATAGAACACTACGTACTCAACGTCACATAACATTTAATATTTCTCAGGGTCATTGCCCAGAAATTCAGAAAACACTGTGCTCCTTCTGTTGGTATTCCCTATGTTTTCTACCACACCCTTTCTCCTTGCTGCTTTGGTCTTTTGTTCTGCTCTTTGGTCTCATTTTGTTTTGCTTTTTTTTTTTTTTTTTTTTTTTGTCTATTTGTTGTTATATGAAGGGGTCTGTGTTAGTGTCTGAACAGCCAGAATTATATGCAAGCTCTACAGACTAATGTGTGTAATACTGAGGTCTGGCAATGCTAGGATCAGAAGGTAATGTGATTGTACCACTGAAGAGAGAAGTGGGGTTTGAAATACAAAAACAGCCAAGAAAGACAGGATGTTCACACATTGATCATGGCTTTTGAGAATCAGTTGCAGAATTTGATAGAAAATAAGAAGGCAGGATTTCTTTTTCCTTTTCTTTCCTTTTTTAATCAGTTGCACAGCTGATATATGGCCATCTGTTTCTCTTGGTGAAATACAAATATTTGTAGATAGCCTTTAGAATTAATTAATATCAATTATAGGAAATATTGATGCAATTTAATAAAATAGAACCAGATCTTATATATTGCACTAGAAAGAAAGGAAGTCTTAACTGAGTTCTGAGAGAAGTCCTAAAAATGTGCTCCAGGTTGAGGCTGCAAACAGTTTTCACAGGCCTCCCACTACTGCTAAGTCTGTAAGTACTGAACCATATGTTTCTCTCAGGAGTAAAAATATGAAGTTAGAAATTTTACTAAGGAAAATTCTCTTGTTTTTCTTATGTCTGTTGATCAGGTTCTTAATTGTCAAAGTGCATTCATTGGTTAGTGCCCTGTGAGGCATACCCGTCAATGACCTAGTCTTTGTTTTTATTTTTTGTAGTACTTGGCTTCCCTGGAATATCATGATCTGGAAAATTATACTACTTGTTTCTTTTATACTACTTGTTTCTACATGTCTTTAAGACCTATATAGTTCTTCTTGCTTCAAAATGTTGCAACATACAAATTCAAATTCAGATAAGCCAGATATCATGAATTCTTTTGAAAGGTTAAAAGAAAAAGAGATAACAGATAGTGACCTTGATTTTACTAATCACATTAACTTAGTATTTTGGTTCTATAGTTTAGTAAATATCTATCTATCTATCTATCTATCTATCTATCTATCTATATCTATATCTATATCTATATCTATATCTATATCTATATCTATATCTATATCTATATTACAGAATGGTACTGTAGTCAGTCCTCAAATTCAATTTTAGGAAATCCTTTTTTCATATGTATTTGTTGAAAACATATCTTTTAAAATCATCTGTTTTGAAACTGCTGATAAAAATTAAGTTTGACATTTCTTGTCTTCAGAGAAATACAAATTAAAACAATGCTAAGATTCTATCTCACACGAGAAAGAATGGTAATCATTAGGAAATCAAAAAAATAGCGAATGCTCACATGGCTGGGGTGAAAAGGAGCCCTCCTGTGTTATTGGTAGAGAAGTAAAGTAGTACAACCATTATGGAAATTCCTCAAAGAGTATTATTAGAAACTCCATATGATCCAGCCATCTATCTCCCTTCTAGATATCTTCCCTAAAGAGCTCAAGACATCAGACTGTAGTGACACATTCATACCAATATTTACAGGAGCACAATCCACAGAAACTGAATCCTGGGAGCAGCTTGTGTACACATCAACAGGTAACTGGGTAAAGAAAATGTGGTATCTCTACATAATGGAATACTACTCGGCTACCAAGAAGAGTAGATTTGAGACATTTGTAGGAAAATGAATGTACTTGGAAAATACAATGCTAAGTAGAAATACAATGTCTGTAGAATCAGACACACAAATTTGAGTACGAAAGTACCTCTCATATGAATAAGACAAAAGACAAAGAGTACAGTAGGGGATAGATAGAAGGAGACAAGGGGATAAATCTCTTGCAAATGGCAAGGGGTCGAAGAGAATGTGGGTGAGAGGAGAGCAGGAGGGGACGGGAAAATAAGTACAAGTATGCTATGTACAGGAACTTTTTTTTTTTT